GATAATGGAGTAATAAGATATGACACTCAACAATGAATAAGTGCAAAATTAAAAATTTTCAAACAACACAGCGTCTAAACCGCACAAAGTGTTTTGTTCACAAAGAATATTTATGATCTGTCTCAATTTGATTGCCAGTGAATTTAAAACTGTATTTTTTTCCATGATTCTACCACATTTTAAAAATTTGCGAAATATTTTTTCTTTAAATAAATTGTTCTAATAGAGGAAAAACGCATATAAATATGGCAAAAATCCGATTTTCATTAAAATCTCTGGAGTTTTGAAAATTTGAAACCTCTGAAGGTTGATCTTTTCTTCGAACCTCTCCCACACTTTGTTCATAGAAGCTATAGATTATTTCCTTACTGAAAATGATTCACGGGCCTTGGCACTTTAAACAACTTCAGGTAAAGTTTTAAAAAATATTGGTAAATTTCTTGTCATTTTGAATCAAATCGTGGCAATATTTCTTTAACATGTAACCATGATTATTTCATAACACGTGTCCACATTTTTGGATAGAACAATATAATGAATCACATTGCACAAGTGATATTTTGTTAACACCTTTCTATTTTAAAAAATCATACAAAAGGGTACGTGACACCTCTTCTTGGAGTTAAAGAGACATTGTAAGAGATTTCGATGTACTATTTCTTTTCTAAAATTTTAAGTAAAAAACAAAAATCATCTTCGAAATATTTTTAAAAAATGTCGAGGTAAAAATTTGTTATCTCGAACATTCCTACAATTAGTATTATTTCGATTCGGCAATAACTATTTAATAAACAAATTCCCAAGTACCTAAGTCATTGCAAAGTCAAATGCCTAAATGTTACTTTATATTATAAAGTTAATCTTGATTTTTTTTAAAATTTTTGTTCATGTGATGCGGTTGTACGTTAAGATCATCGGCAACTATCCTTGCTCAACCGTTTAAACTCTGAATGATCGCCAGAAACATTAAAGAACAATTATATTTTTTTGACAATTGGCCAATAAATGAACGGCAAAGTCAAAATGAAAGAGAAATTGGAAGTATCCTATCAACATATAGCCGCAACCTTCTTCACGGAAGTATTCCTTTCAAACTCGATTCCAGTGTTTTGTTTTGACTTTTTTGACCTCGTTCGTGTCTTCTCGTTGTTGACGGGTTGGAAGCATGCTGTGTGTGCACGAAAGAATTAGCACACGGGCACATTTGCCAGAAATGGACGTGAAATTTGGTTCGAACAAAAGAGAGGTAACTCCTGTAACCTGAAAATAACTTTGGAGAAAGAAACTATGTTTAGCAACCCTCATTATAAATAATAAAATGCAATAACTTTCTGCTGCAGTCATTGACAGATCATGTAAGGATATTTTAATCATAACAATAAATCCATAAGAAAAAATACATTTTTAAAAAGAACATAACTTGACAATAAAATGCGAACCATTTTCTGTCGAATATAAAAGAAATATTTCTGAAAGTGTTCCCTATTCATAAAATACAAGTTCAACGTTATCGTTTTTTTTAATAATGAAAACCTAACATAATGGGTATAAGTTGATTTATATTCATTTATAGATCTTATGCAGCTTAAAATATTTAGTTGGCTGAAAATGTTGCTTGATATTTCCGCAAAATGGCAAAGGAACATCTTGTGCGCGCTTTGGGGGACTATTTGTCCCACTGTGCCAGGTTCCCGTTCTCCTCAGCTCGACTCAGCCACAGACCGGCCACATGTTCCCAACGACACACGCGGCATTGGAGACGGGATTCGGGCGAAGATCTCGCCTGGCGAAACACTAGATCATGGCCGGATCGAGGCTTCGGGTGCAGGGTCCCCCATGTCAAATATCCAATAGGACCTCCCGTTGATATTAGATAAGATTTATTATGTGAATCAAAAGTAAATAGAAAATCAATGCGATCTTTTTGCGATACAACTAATTCGAAAATTAACGTATGTGCTTATAAGACACTATTAGTATTAACATTCTGCAGAAACCGAAGGAAGTGAACAGCATCAGAATGTAGTGTTGTTCCCACTTGTCCGAACTGTTTCACAGACCATTAAGGAAATGTTTATACATATACAACTTTTATGATTCTGAATATTCTCTTAATAAACGAAATTGTTAAACTTAGATACTCATTAATAATTCAATCGATGACTCATTCTTCCGTTCTAATTTCTTTGAGAAACTCATAACTCATAATTTTCCAATGGAAGAAACTTACAATTTTCTTCATTTTCGAACTAGCAACGTAATTCGGCCATAGCAAATCTTCAATAGTGCATCCAGGGAGAGGGTGGCTCATGGGGTGTCAGCCTACCCCCCCCCCCAGATGCCAATGATACGTGTCCAAAAATATAGTTTTTACTAATATTCTTTTCTAACGAAAGTCGTTCAATATGACAATTGTTAACGTTATAGATATTGACAAGTCAACAAATAAAAATACATTTTATATTCGACCTAAATTTACAATTCTTTATAAGAAAACATCAAATCATCTGGACGGTACACCTGTAGCTCCATTCCCCTTCACGCACACACACGCGCGCGCACACACACACACACATACATACACACATACATACATACATACATACATACATACATACATACATACATACATACATACATACATACATACACAGAAAAATCCTGGATGCGTCCTTCCACTTCGTTATACGAAAATCTTGAAATGTTCTCCTCACAGCTGTCGAGGTTTAATCATCACCATTTCCCACATTTTTCTACACTATGTGATCAAAAGTATCCGGACACATGACTGAAAATGAATTACCAGTTCGTGGCGCCCTCCATCTGAAATGCTGGAATTCAATAGAATGTTGGACCACCCTTAACCTTGATGACAACTTCCAATGTCGCAGGCATACTTTCAATCAGGTGCTGGAAGATTTCTTGGGGAATAGCAGCCCATTCTTCAGGAAGTGCCGCACTGAGGAGAGGTATCGATGTATGTCGGTGAGGCCTGGCACGAAGTCGGCGTACCAAATCATCCCCAAGGCGTTCGACAGGATTCAAATCAGGACTCTGTGCAGGCCAGTCCATTACAGGGATGTTATTGTCGTGTAACCTCTCTGCCACAGATCAATGCAGTATGAACAGGTGCTCGATGAAAGATGCAATCACCATTCCCGAATTGCTCTTCAACAGTGGAAAGCAAAGTGTATAAAACATTAACGAAGGCCTGTGCCTTGATAGTGCCCCCGAAAACAAGGGGATGCAAGCCCTCTCCATGAAAAACACGACCACGCCATAGCACCATTTTGGACGTGTCCGGATCCGGTATCGGATTTTTTCCACCTCTTCGCCCCGTGTCCAATACCTGCTGGCTAGGCCCTTGGGATGATATCCCTGCAGCCCGTCACGTAACCCGACCCTGCTCCCCCGAGCGGCAGCGCGCGCCGAGTCGGAAGTCGAAATCTTTGCGTCAGTGTGCGGAATGTGGGGCAGCGGTAACAGCACGTAAGAGAAAACTTGTTACCGGAGAAAAGGTGACGGCGTGTGATGGCCGATGCGCCTGCTTTTATGCTCTCGAACGACTTCCGATGAACAATGCTAACGGATATTATTTCATTGTAGATGTTGCGTGGTAAACAAGAGAGAAATGTGGATTCACCATAACATGAAGATATTAAGCCCTGTCCAACTTTTGGCATTAGACCAACTAGATGTAACACGAGTGTCGCGTAAAATGCGTACGTTCGCGTTTGTGTACTATGTGTTATTTGTTTCAATATTAGGATGAACTTTCAATATTATTCCTGGCAGCGATAAATTGCCTCAACAATTTCACTAACCAAATCGAGAAGTCGGCACCAAAACGTATCGTAAAAACAAAAATATGTACTAATAGTCGTCTCTACTCTAGCTAATAATAAAATTTTAGTTTACTTCCGACTTTGGGTATGATGATATTCTAGAGAATGAAGCAAGCCCTTAAAATGTATAAACAAAAGTATACAAGATGTCATAAAAACATGATGGTATTCATAAAAAATCAAAGATTTTGTATGCTATACAACACAGCATAAAATAAGTATCTTTCAAACATTAAAATATTCTCTCCTCTGTCGTAATGAAAAAAGACGGGTGTATTCTTCTTTATTTGCGCAAAAAAAAAACAACAACAACAGTAAATAAGAATCTGACTTTCCGAATAAAGAAATCCTATATAAAGGTGAGTATTTAGAAATACAGGCTACTTTCCTACACTTCAATCAACTAGTGTTTACGTTTGTTTATTTTTAATGTGATATTCGGTTATTTTCGTTTAAGACATTCAAACATTAGTTTTTAATACTGAAATGAAAAGACACTTTGGTATGACATCAAACGGTATTGAGCAGAGCCTAGATGGTGGCGTCACTATGAAATGACAAGATGAAATAACAATACTCGGACTATGAGAACGCAAGAGAACATCCACGGAAATATAAAACTTAAATCACAGTTAACATATTTTTTTTATTTCGAATATTTTTTGGCCTAAAAAAAAGAAAATTATACCATTACGTTTAAAATTTGAATAAATCTACATTTTTCTAATAGACGAGACCTAAAGAGTTGTCACCGTGAAATGACAGGTAAAATAGCTGGACCACTCAGCCGAATATCCTGAGTGAGTTTTACCGCTGTATAAGCTACCGAAGAGAGAGCCGCTGTATAATAAAATACAGAATATCTACTAACAATAAGAAGACACTTAAAAAAAGTATTGCAGGAAAATGTTTTGTCTTTGTATGCAGTAAAAATGTACCACATGAAAAATGAAGAAATTATAGAAAAAACTGTGATGACTTCTTTACTTATAAAGTTGAATAAGATTTCTACATTACGACGTTTTTCCAGTTTATCATCTAACAATTTATTTAAAAAACATTCAAAATCTTCACACCAAATTTCGAAGAAAACCATATCATAGTATCACTCACGTTCACTACAGTAAGAAAATACCAACACACACGCACACACACATAGGCGTGATTGTATTCCAGTTGCGCCGAGGTGTCCCACGCACGAATCCTACCTTTGGCGCGGCGCGGCGCGGTGTCCGGCGGGCAGAGCGAGTGGAGCGACACGCGGGCGACCCGAATCCGACTGCGGCTGCGGCGGACGGCTCTCGCCTGCTCGCTGCACAGGCGCGCGCACGGCTCTGAACGGCACTGAAGCGCGAGGCGGCGCTGCGCGGAGCGCGGGCCTCTGGTGCCGGCGGCGGCGGAGGCGGCGGCGGCAGCGGCGGCGGCCCAGCGGGGACGCTGACCGCTGGNNCGACACGCCACCGCCACCGCCGCCGCCGCCGCCACTCGCGCTTCAATCGCGCTCCGGGAGGTCCTAGGTTCGAGACCTGCCGGTGGTAAGAGTTCTGACATCAGATACGTGGATAAGAGAATTCAACGGGTCGGCTGCTCTGATGGGTAATTTCCCGTGGTTTCAACACCGGGCCACGGACCGCGCGCGATCTTTCTTCCTCTTCCTTGTCCTATTCTAACCCCTTACTTACTCACACTTAAAATATGCCCTACACTATCACACAAGTCGAGAGATCAGAAGGGAGCTTAGAGCTTGTTCCGGCCTGGGCGGTGGCCCCGCTGGTGGGAGATACCTAGGTGGGGGAAAACATCCGCAAGCAGACGTGAAGGTTGGCACTGTATCTCACCATGCCGCTAGAGAAGAACACACCCATCTCCCATGATAAAACATACACTACACTTAACAAAAAGGACACTCTAAAAAGGAAGTACCCGAGTGAAGTTTGTTGTTTTTATTAATTTTAATAACGATGAGTATATCTTGTTTTCTATAATTTATTTACATATTTATTTATTTCATTAACGACTACACTTTAATTAACTGCCTATCTGCAAATAAACTTATAAACAAAACTTTGAAGTAGAGACGACACGTGTTCCCAATATCATAGAATGCTGAAATTACATATATGCGCATCTTTTAGGAAAACTAAAACATTTATGGAGCTTGTGTTATGAAATAAAAATAATCGGTCATATAAGGAACACAGTTTTGTACAGGTTTGAACATTCCAAAACAATTAGCAAATAATATTGTTGCTATTTACGAAGATGACTTGTAAACCTACGATACAAACTCGTAAACGACAGCTAGAAATATGACAATCCCAGTCATTACCGTGCTGCCATCGACACAGTCTTGCAAAGATATTACAATAACTCGTAGCACGATATTATAATGACTCGTTAATTCGACATTACCGGCTTCATTATAGTCATCATCCCCATACACTTGCACTTACAGGTGCATTATCTACTTTTACTACTTCATTCCTGTTATCAAAAGAGTAACGAAAACTTGATGAGAACTGTTCCAGCCTGTGTAGGCAAACCACCACACATAGCGATATAGCGGGATGCAGCGATCAGGTGCACATCGTAGTGTAAACATTGTCTTTTGATATTATTTGATTAATTATTGACTTACGTTATTTTGGTTTATAATTAAACAAAATATTTGTAGTTTTTCTCTTACCATTACTTTTACTTACTCGTTATGTACGTATGTATGGAGTAAAAAATGTAGTATAGGGTAAGTTATGTAATGCTGCGGAAAATCAATTTCGAGATTTCAACGGAAATACATGTTTTGGGGTCCCCTGATACCTAAAAAGTGTTGATTTTTTATCTAAACGTCCTTCCGTATCTCCGTCTGTTTGTGCTGTCCTTCTATGAACACCACTAGGGCCTAAACCATAAGTAGGATTTTTTTCCGAAATGTATATTCCCCGGTCGATCTGACTCGATTTAAGGCTCAGCGATTTTTTAAAATAAGTTTATTCAAAATTTGGGAGTACTTTACATCAAGCCCTTGGGACATTGGTAATTTTTTTATTAAAAATGGCTCAATGTTTTTCTTTAAATTTCTTGTAAGAATGCAGAAAATACGCATATAAAAGTGTCATTGGTCCAATTTTCACGGTTAACTGTAAATCTTCGAAACTTTTGAAATTTTACTGGCGTTTTTCTACAACTACAAAATTGAAGGTAGAGATTTTCAAATTTGCTTCAAATGCCTTCTAATGAAGGTTTTCGAAAGCTCAAAAATTAACTGTGAATTACATGAATTAAGATTTGTCATTACTCTCGATGTCCTGTAGCAAGGATTGATGTTACAGGGTCTTGGTTCCGTTTTTAAATAAAACCCGCAGTGCGCGGAAGGACCTACAAGACAACTAGGACAAAGCAGGGAAAGGAAGGCGAAGAAGGCAAGAAGATAATATGGGACAATGGGGACAAAATAGATAAAATTGGAAAGAGGGAGAAAAGGGTCAAAATGGGAAAGGACAACAAATTAGACAATGTGGACAAAAGGACAAATGAAATAAGGAGACAAAATGGATCATGGGGATAAAATGAAACAATGACAAAATGAGACAATGAGGCAAAATGGGACAATAAGACAAAATGGAACAAGGACACAAAATAGAACTAGGTGACAAAGTGATGCATGGGGGCTAAATGGTACAAGGGTACCAAATAGGATAAGGAGATGAAATGGGACAAGGGGACAAAATTGGACAAGGACACAAAGTTGGGCAGGGGTATAAACTTGGACAATGGGACATAATTGGACAGCTAAACAAATGACAAAATTGAACTAGGGGACAAAATCCGATCCGTCGGACGTTGGGACAAAATGAGCCAATAGGGCAAACGGAAAAGGGGGGGAGTGGAACAAAAGGGACATGGGGAATTCGAACAAAATGCACAGTAAGGGACAAGGGACAAGTGGGGCAAAAGGGGCATTTATCCATAGATGAGCACTGGTGAAATTAAAAACCGTGTCTGCTAAAATATTTTAATGTGCCCTTAGAGTATTTTTACATCCGTTGCTATGGACACGTTCTGAAAGTGTTGTTTAGATGCTTTGTTGCTAAGGAGCTTAGCGCGTATATACCGACGTAAATAACAAATCTTTTTTTTAGTGTGTGCCAAACATATATTTTTTAGTGTGTGAAATATCGCAAAGCGTGTGAGAAACATCTCGAAGCGTTTGTCTGACAGATTGCATTTCGCCCACTGCGGGTTAAAAAGTATACAAAATACGGACATTAAATGATTGCCGCTCCCGACTCGTGCGTGAATTACCTGTTTCGTGCCTTGTAATATTTCAAATATTGCCGCTAGAAAAAAATTGTAATTACTGTACAGTTACTCTATACAGTTCTATATTCATGAAAATAATGGGACAAAAATATATATTTTAATTTCTTTATACATGGCGCACCAATCAGAAAAATTCCAGAAAATAGCTGATTTTTGGGGCAACATTTGATATTTTTCTCGTGCACTTGGTGGACTTAAATTTGGCTTTAAAAAATCCAATATTTTAAAATTCAATTCAAAGTTTGTATTTCGCAGCACATAATATTTTTAATTTTTTTAATTGCGTTAATTTCACATAAAGAATCATTATTTTCATAGGTATTTTATACGGCCAATTCAATGAAGGAAAAAAATAAAAATCACATTTTTCGTTATTACTAATGATGTTCCAGGGGAGAAATCTAAAACTTCATGAAAAACTGTTTTTCGTAGTCACAATTCTTAGGAAAAATTGTATTTTAAATTTCAAGTGGAGGCATTTTTTACCATCTCATCCAGATAGAGTCTTTTCTGAAGATGAAATTTGAGCTCTTTTGACAGAAATGTTTTGAGTTTTCGAGAAACCTCATAAGACATCATTTAAAGAATACGTACTCGGAAATGCAATAGTGTAAAGAAATCGCCGCTAATATAAACTTTAAGGACGTGAGAGGCTAGTCAGAAAAATACATTTTGTAATTTTGAAAAAAAAACATCAAAAGAATAGAGCAATATCAGTTTATGTCATCCTGTATATTATATTTGAGACTATCCTCACCAAACGTTTAAACAAGCAATTTGGTGCCGTTGTCGAGAAAATCTTGTTTCTGTATTTTTTTAGTATTGCACATATCGCACGCAATATTGCGCGAAAAAAACTAAAACTTTGAAAAACATGTACCATACTTTAATGAAAGAACTAAACATGGAGAACAAAGTTCATTTGAAAAAATCTTTATCTTTAATTTTGTAAACGACGAAAAATATTCAAACCTTTGAAATTTTCGAAAAATCAGAGTTAACCCTAAAAATTGGACCTATGACACCTTTGTAAGTTTATTTTACTCAATTTGTACAAGAAGTTTAAAGAAAAAATTTGGAGGTGTTTTTAAGAACATTTTGAAAATGTACTAGGGGCTTAATGTAAAGTACCCCCCGCCCAAATTTTAAAGAAAGTTTTTTCAAAATTTCAAAGCTTCGACTCGAGCTAGATAGACAGGGGTTTCTTCAATTTGAGAAAAATTCTGTGTATGGTTTAGGCGCTAGTGGTATTCACGGACGGACGGACGAACGGACGTTCAGAAACAAAAACACTTTTTCGGTGTCAGGGGACCCCCGAACCTGTATGTCCGTTGAAATGTCGAAATCGATTTTCCACAGCATTACATAACTTTCCTCATTACTCCTCATATACATATGAATAGGGGAAAGTAAAATTAAAGGAATAATTCCATGGAATTCCTAAAAGCTGCAGATATCGGGTCTACAAAATCCATCCATTTACAAAATTATTAGGCTGGTACCATAATGATAGATTGCTGATTAGACGTGTTTTGGTTACATTTACTTAGACATGTGTAATAGCAAACGAATGCTGGAGGAGTACCTTAATAAACGGGCCATGGTCCGCGCCCAATATTTTCTTACTCTTCCTTGTCTTATCCTCATCCCTTCCTTACACACACACTTACATGTCCTACACTACCACACGTCTAAAGACCGTCGGGAGCGTGTCCCTAGTTGGAGAATACCATCAGCCGCCGTGCAGGTAAGCGCCGATTCTTACCATCTAGCGGGTGAAGATCACCGTCACCGCCATCGATAAAACATACTCTACACTTACGGGGCTAATGACCTTAGCAATAGTCGCACTCGAAAACACAAATCAATCAATCAATCAATAGAAGACCATGGAGTGATAGATTATTTGTATGAATACGTCATCGGTAGTTTAAACACTAGATATCTGTCCCAAGAAAAAATTCCGATAATTTTTCTCCGCTGTTCTGTATGATACTTGTGGTACTGAATACAACTTTTATCTTTGCCACCTCAAACTAGTGGTGCTCCAACAGCACACACTTTCCCGCAATATTACCATGTTATCTTTATGTACGGCGGGTCGCCCATAATGCTTCATTAACTTCAAACAGAAATTACGCAAAAACTACTAACATTTACAAAAAAAATTGTACGTGATATTTTTTAAAAAGCAAATTTTGTACAGCAGATTTTATACGAGGCAAAAATCCTCATCTTCAATTTTGTAGTTTTGATTTTTTTTTTTTTTTTTTTGCAATTTTCGAAAAAACGAGCAATGCCCGAAAATTGGATTAGCATTACATTTTTACAGTCCCTTATTTTACATGTGAAGGAAATTTAAAGAAATAATTTTGAGCGGTTTTTGAGAAAAATTATATTAAATTTCAAGCGCATATTATGAAAAAACTACTCGTTTTTTTCAAAAAAATTGTACATAACCTTTTTCAGAGTTAACTTTGAACAATAGACTTTGCATGGGGCAAAAATATGTCTTCAATTTTTCTTTCTTCTTCACCTCCTCTTTCTTCTTCTTCTTCTTCTTCTTCGTCTTCTTCATCTCCTCCTCTTTCTTCTTCTTCTTTTTCTTCTTCTTCTTTTTCTTCTCCTCCTCCTCCTCCTCCTCCTTCTTCTTCTTCTTCTCTTTCTTCTTCTTCTTCTTCTTCTTCTTCTCTTTCTTCTTCTTCTTCTCTTTCTTCTTCTTCTTCTCCTTCTCTTTCTTCTTCTACTCCTCCTCTTTCTTCTTCTCCTTCTCCTTCTTTCTTCTTCTTCTTCTTCTTCTTCTTCTTCTCCTTCTTTCTTCTTCTTCTTCTCCTCTTTCTTCTTATTCTTCTTCTCCTTTCTTCTTCTCCTCCTCCTCCCCTTTCTTCTTCTTCTCCTCCTCTTTCTTCTTCTTCCCAGCCGTTTGTTTAACCCTTAGGTGGGTCTTACGGAGCCTAACTTCTTCCACTCTTCTCTATTCTTCCACGTCCCAGGACGTATCTGCCATCCATCCATTGTCTTCTTTACGTTGTCTCACCAAAGAGGTGGCGGCCTGCCTTTTTTCCCCTTCTTTCTTGCGGTTACCAATTCAGAAGCTTCTTTGGAAGTCTATTGCTCTGCATCCTTTGCACATGTCCAAACCATAACAGTTGTTTCCTTCCAAATTCGTGAACCAATTTTCTTTCCACATAAGTGCTGATGTAAATTTTAGAGTCAGAATAAAAATGTGAATAAATTTAATTATTATCTTTTTATTCAATAATTACTACTTTTAAATGGTGATTTTTCAATGTTTTCTGTGATTTACTCCCCTACTTTAACAAGAATAAATGCTTTTTTTGCACATCTATTGTAGTAAAAATAAATGCCTATTTGCCTGTATATTTTGTAAAAAATAAATTCCATTCAGGGCTCTAGACATAAGAATGAAACAATGCAGTATTTCAAAATGTACGTCTTCGGAGTAAACTGGGAAATGAAGAATATTTGTGTATAATACCATCTAACGAGCGGTATGGTTCGTATTGGTTAATGCTGGTTGTAACTACGAAGTATACAGGCGAAGTATACAGTATACTTCGTGGTTGTAATCTGCGCTCAAGCCATGGAAAAAGCAGAAGTCTTCCATGTTCTACACTCTTTGACTCATGCTTTCTAGTTTTGGTGTCGCGAGCTGTGGAGATTCCAGAGGGCGCTGGCTACGGTGGTCTGCGAAGTGCGGTTATATGTGGTGTAGCTCTGGTCCTGCTTTGGTCTGTGCTGTGGCATAGAATTGCATGGTGTCGCTATTTGTAGTGTTTCTGGTGTTTCTAATCGGCTGACCGTCAAGAGCACGTTGCATTGAATTTGCGGGTTGAAAACAATTTAGGCCGTGGTTCGTTTTTCTCACTTTGCAGAAATTATTTGATTGTCAATTCATAAAAAGTATAGAAGTAATAAAGAGAGTTGGACTTGATCATGATCAGTACACTCACGATATGAGTATACTTATAGGTTTGCACTGCTAGTGTTTATTGTGTTCTTGTGTTTCACCAAAGATCAACTTTCTCCACAAGCGAGCATATGACATTTGGAACGTCGACGTATGATACAAATGATTCTAAAGTGTAAATAAAATTCTGACATCATGGATTTTGGGTCACTTCTACACGCTGCCCAAAGGAACGAACATAAAGCGAAACAAGAGGTAAAATGTCAGTTTAAGTCTTTCATAGAATAATGTATAATTTCCGCTTGTGTATGTCATGTCTTTTTTTTTTTGTTTCTTAGTCGAAAAAATGTTACACCACCACATTTTCTGCCCCAAAGAAAGAGCAGAGGGACAACAGGAATTTATCAGCAAATATTCAAAAGTTTTTAGCAAGAAGAGATCAAGAAGAGAAAAAGAAAGAAGAAGAGGCAAAAAAAAAGAGAGATGTAAGATAAAACCAGATGAATGCAAGAATGTTTGTGAAATGTACCCGTTAATAAGATAATTTTAAGTCTAATTGTTTTTAAATGCATTGTTATTAGGAATTATTGGCTCTTCGTTCTCAAGATGGTAAAGCCAAAAAACGAGTGGCTGCAATGTTGAAAAGAACTAAGGCTGCCAACAAGTCCGCTATTGAGGATGCTGTTGATGATGATAACACTGCAGTCACATTAAATGGTAAGGTTAAGTATTGTTCATATATATTTTTTTCCATTTCATTGAGTAAAATCTTATACTAAATATTGTAAAATTTTAATAAACCTTTTCCTCTTGTTGTCATTTTATAACACATTATGTTGTTAATGATATAATTTTGTAATCCCCAGGACCCAGTCAACCAGATGAAGATGATTATGGTTACGTGTCACAAGAAGCTTCTGCATATTATAATAAATTAATGGATAAATATAACAATGCTCCCGCAGAAGAACCTTTATATTCTAAAAAAAAGAAAGCTGTTCATAGAGATTTGAATAGTACTAAGGTAGGATTAATTTACATTAGAATATTTGTAAGATATATAAGAATTTTGTTTTAATTAATGTGTCTTGTAGTATTGGTAATAGTTTGGTTCCTTGATTTAGATGCTAGTATCTAGATTATTAGAGTTGATGCTTACATATGTTCAAGGTCTATCTTTATTAAGGTGTGTTTATACTTGACTGGACATGTGTCTTTAAAAATTAGGTAACATGAAGATCTTTACAAAAGACAGCTAACACATTTTGATTCTTTTTATAAGATATAAATTTATTTAAATAATTTCTATAAATGAAAGTCTGAAGTATTGAAGTATTAAATGAGTCAGCACAACATATGTAGTAAAATTATCTTTTTCTGTTATTTTCCTTATTTCTTATAGTAGAAGCTTGAAAAATATTTGCGTTTTTGAATTTTGTGTATTTTCCTATATTTGCTTTCAGTGATATCATTTTTATCCGTATAATTTTGCTGTCAAATTTACAGTAGGCATTATTTTGAAGGAAACTAGAAAAAATTCCAAATTACCTACTCAAAATTTACTCTTAAACAGCAAATAAATGAACATTAAATACATATTGAAAACCATTTGAGTAAGATCAATTAAATTGATCAAGTAAATGTATGATGTAAAAATAATTTCTGAGCAGAAATTCCTTCATAACTGTTGTTTTATTACTGGTCAGGTTGAAGATTAACCATCACAAAAAATTCAGAAATTAAAATATGTTAGTGAATGTAATTCTACTGGTGTATGAAAGCATTACAATTTTCCAATGCAGGAAAAATCACAATATTTCAATATATTCTGTAGATATCTTTCTTTTGCCTTTTTCCCACTTTTAGAAGCACTTAACATTCAAATTAAAACATTTTACTCCTGATTTTAACTCCAGTATACTCTGCTTCAATATGATGACCAAAAAAATACCAGATATGCTGTGATCGTGTGGTCAAAGAAATTTTGTGACTGTTTCTGTTTTTATATTTTTTTTTATTTTTAATATTCCTTAGCCATGTCATCTTTTGTGACTTCAGAGAATATCGGTGAATTTCTCTTACAATCGGTATCATCCTGTCATACCATACTGGAAAATTTTTTATGAATGTTTTTTGGATTTAATGTTGATTTAAGTAGGAGCGGATCTAGAGACGAATTTTTGAGAAGGATTTTTTAAAAAAATGTTTTGCGCGAATATGTCAATTACAGATGTAGAATGATGCAGGCTCAACTCAGGTCATGCTTGAGGTGATTGTATTTTTGTAACCGTGTTTTTGATTATCCGTAAATATTTTTGCTTGAAAGTTTTGTGAAATGTTAAAATTACTTAATAATTTTACTTTTTTTTAAGGAGGGATTTCCTTCTTTTGCTAAAATTGGTTTTAATTTCATCTGTAGTAACCAATATAGTTGTTATATGTGATAGAATCCATAAAAATCATAACTTATCGAATACTTTTTAAAGTGCAAAACAACAAAAATATTAAGTGCAAAGAAACAATCATGAAATTATGGTTTTTATGCAATCATTCTGAGAAATTGCTAATAGTCTTCTTCTAAAGAGATTGCATTTTTACTTTTATACTTTACTCATTGATACATAATGTGAATGTTGTTTACATATGAAGTTAAAATGTGCATTACTCTTTATAGCTGTCCTTTGGTTTTTCATTTGTCCATGATATACGCAACATACACTATTTAATGCCAATTTTCTCCCTTTCCACAAGTTTATTGGACATAAAATAAAAAATGTTGTTAAACTATCTTAAATAGACCATCAATGTATAATATTTATATGACCACAAAAAGTAGTTCCATGTGAAAATTTTTTGCATGAGCTAGTGCATGCTGAATTTTGTACACAATGCAGTTTTTTTAGAAATTGAAGATAAAATTCTAAACTCCTGTACCTTTAGAACATTAAAAACATTAAAGGCAAAAGCTGATGATAAAAAGATAATAATTGTGACATGGTTAATTTTCCAGAATTAATAGAGCAAAGGGTTTTGGTGTGGTGAACAGAATTGACCCAGCACCCCCTACTTTATAGTTAATTAAATATTTTACCTAAGTCAGGTACATTTTAATAAAAACATGCAAAGAATGCTCTGAACAATTACACACAAAGAATGCTCTGAACAATTTCATAATGAAAATTCATTAGGTTTAAATGTGCATAATATTCTTTCTGTTTGTTTTTGAGGATTTAAAATACTACTTTTTACTCAATTTCTTAGTTCAGTCGCAACAAAATTCCCTCTGGTTGCTGTATTGATTCTAAGTTTAAACTTGCAGTTTGTTTTGAATAAATAGGATTTCATCATATCACTAGTGAAAGAAAAATTAGGTTAATTTTAGTCTTTTATTTTATTTTATTTCACGTAACAGAAAAATATTTTATAGCTTTTCTCATTTATTGCCCATCAACTAGATTCATAAGAGCAATGAAACATACAATCTCCATTTTCTAACTTACGTAAATGTTGAAATCAGAAACTAGGAACTAATACAATCATTATGTCATGGTGTTGTATTTTTGGTATTAACAGCAATGTGTTAAACACCATTGATACACGGTGCATTTTACAATACTAACACAGGAGCATTCAACATAAATTGTATTAATAGCATTGAATAAAATTAAAACCTTACCAGAAACTATTTTAAACCTTTGGCATTTAATAATCTGCTATACGTGTTCCCAAATATGTAGTATATATTTATAAACAACTTAATAAATTGTTACTTTGTATCAATTTGTTTTAAGAACACACTTAAACAAATTAAGTTTCTTTCACCCTAATGTTAGTAATAATCCCTTTTTGTTGTCCTTGTTTTCTATTCGCCCCATATTTGTTTAAATAATAATTTAAAAGGAATACATTTTTCTTTGAATTGAATTTTGTTTGAACCTGTGATGTCTTGAATTACTAAACCTCCACGACTTCATGGAGCTTAGTTGATGTCACCAGCTTCCACTGTGTTCTGTTTAGTTGCGGAAAGTTAAATCTCTACGGGTCACCTGGCAAAATTATGGTTTATTATCACCATATTTGGAGTATTTCTTGCTTTCATTTTGGGATGTTGTATTATTAATTGAACGTCAGTAGTGTATACTTTTTTGTTGTTATACTGTCTTTTTTTTTTTTTTTGGTATGCATATGTACATCTTTGAATGCTTTCATTAAAAAATCTTTGTTTACAGGATCGTGTGCGAATGGCCCTTTTGAAGGAAGAGGAGGAGGAAATGATGCCGCATAAACGAAGAAGAAGAGTTAAAAACAAGAAAGAAAATGATCCTGGTGATACTACTGTTGATTATCGTTCATCAGATTTAACAGATTTAGGACCTTCCAAAGAAGCAGAAGTAGATAGTGAGGAAGAACAAGAAAGGCAACCAATCAAGCCAAAGATAAAAAAGACTGCAGCACCCCCTATAATGAACTTTCAAGATCTCTTGAAGTTGGCTGAGAAGAAACAGTTTGAGCCTATAAAAATTGAACCAAAAAAGAAATTAGAAGAGGATGAACGACCCATGACAAAGAAACAAAGAGTAGAATTTTTGAAAGAGCAAGAATGGAGACGGAGGAAGGAAGAAGCAGCAGCAAAAGGAGGTCAAGTGAATCAGCCTCCAAAAATTCCTAAAATTAATCGAAAGGAAGATTCCACGCAAAATGAGAAGTCTGATTCTGCAGACAGGAGGCAGCAAAGAACCAGTGGAATTGGACATCAAATGAAGATTCCTAAAATTAATAGTGCAAAAAAAGAAGAAAATACTGTTCCTTATCCAAAAGAAGAAGAAGAGGAAGACGAAGTAGAAGAAGAAGAGGAAGAAAGGCCTGCCAATAATTTTAAGAAAGAAGGCAGGCATATGGGTAATATGAGAAGAAATGAAAACGCTGGTCCACCACGACAGAATGGAAATCTCAAGCGAGAAAATTCATTTACTGCTCCTTCAAAAGCAAGTGTGGCTATCAGAGATGAGAAAACAATGAAAAAAGTTTCGAAGGATAATAACGATATATCAAAGAAACAAAGAGGAGATAATGATAATATTTTATTGAGGAAATCCCAAATTTATGAAGAGAGAGAAAGGAATAAAGCAATTAGAAATGATAATTCTGTTTCGAACACTGTTAAAAATATTCCGTTTAAAATGCCAGAAGGAAGGCTCAATGACAATGTAAATGTAAAAAAGAATTCCTCATCATCTGGTTATGATAAAAAATTG